CCAAATGAATAGCCACGCCGGACATTTTTAAAGGTTCTGACGCTCAGTATGGACTAACGGTATGAGTGAGGAATTACTACTTGTCCCTTGACTTTTTGGAATAGATAATGGCATACCTGGCCGCTTATACGCTATCGTATTGGTATATCATACGCCCAGGCATTATTTGATTGTTTGGGACGATGTCGTGCCTATTTTTTCCTTGCTTATTTGCTGAGTGTTTCTCACCATGCTGCGCAAAGGATATATCACAGATAATCAGAAATCCATCAGATGATCTTAGGATTAACTGCTATCAGGATATACGCGATACCTGTGATATATTTGAGAAAAAGTGATGAGGACACTACCTCCTACTCTAGAGATATTTATAACAATGCCCATGGTTTCCAAGTAGATTATATGAGGAAATATAGTGTGGGGTGCGAGGTTTTAGTCGTAATTCTCTGTTTCACATATTTGTTCGGGCTGCGCAAAGAAATGAGGATCGGAGAAACCCATTCAAGTATCACGCTTGTTTTCCTTCAACTCATCGCATTTATCAGGAGCAGCACACACAAGCACTGTGTCACGGCCCTACTCCGTCGTGGGCGTAAAATCGAGATGGGAGTGGGGAAGATTGAGTATTCTCCTGCATCCACATGAAGGTTGCTATGTTTTATCTATATCAATCGGCCAATGGCGATTTATTTCCATCTTATATATTGTATTATGCTATCTAGTCTATAATTTACTATGCTATCTATCTTATCTCATCTTTATATATAATATATTACATATACCACTATCGTATATATACATATATAGTGTATATTTATATATATGACTACACATAAACATTATAATATACATCGACTGAATCTTTAAGTATCGTTCGATTTACCTCTGCACTCTATTCTCAATGCAATTGTAGCGTTTTATTGCGCGAACCCATCCCCCGCCCCTCTCCCCCCGCTTCCGTTACCATGGTTGTGAGAAACGTCGGCGGGACGTATATAAGGAAAATTTTCACCCTAATACATATCGACGACGCTCTAGCAGCATATACCCTGAAAATACATGCCGTTAGGGATTTATTCACAATTGCGTCCATTGCAGGGGGATTAGGTGTACCGCGCAGCTCGCACCCCGCTACCCTACAACCCTACCCTGGGTGGGCTTGCCTACATACTACCCCACCCATCCGAGGAAACAAAACCATCATCTCTTACCGTATTCACTAGGCAAAAGGTTACAGAGACGCACACGGAACATAGATGCGGAGACCCGATAACCTACAATAACCTAGGATTTTTAGGTACTAACCTGATTATTAATGCGCTAATTAGTAGGGTAAGAGAGTGGCCCTTTGCCTCACGCAGAATGTTAAGGAGGCGCACGGGTGCGTCCGGCAGGAGGCTCAGGCCGGAGGATACAGTTTTCCTCCTCCGCCGGAGGAGGCCGTGGCGGAAGCAACATCTGTAGGATTTTTTCCTGGCATGAGTTGCAATCTCGTGCGAGACAAATCCGTGCTCGGAGTACGAGCACACTCTCCACACTAGAGGACGAGCCATCAGCGGCGGCTAATGACTAGCTTCTGAACGGTACGGTTATTTCGGGTTAGGATACGGATGTTTCGTCTATTCCAGGAGGAAGGAACTCGACGTTGGGAGGCCATACGGCTGTACATGCGAAAGCGGGCGCAAAACCGCCTGGACGAGGGCGGGCCACTCCCCTGATTTCATTGAGGTACACCTTTGATTAAATAGCTTTTCTATCATGAATCTTGTCTGAGGGTATAAGATACTTCGCGCAATGAGGCTCTACCATTAATATGCTGATATCAGTATACGCTGGGAATCTTGCACGATAGGTCCTCAATTCGTGATATTATTTACGTTCGAGAAAAACGTTAGGCCGACAATCGACAAAATGATTGGTGTAACGCATCTAGGGCCTGCGGGGGAATAGCGTTGTGGGAGGTCTTTGTCTTTTCCTCGTGCGGGGTTGGGGGCGCTAGGCACGCCCCCTATCAGCGGAGAGACAGTCAGCATACGAGGCGCGCACGCCTCCCTTCGCAATGGTTTTGATATATTTGATTATGGCTATGATATGATTCCTTCTATTATGGTTTTAATTTTTATCTACTGTGCGTTATATTTATTAGTGTCTAATTTTTAACTTCTCTTATCTTTATTTTGGGTTATTAACCAGCATTTTTCCCACTCTTTGAATAGCTCAAACGCTGTTCTATTTTATCGATTGCCTCTCACCCAGGCTGCTATCGTGGGCCGTAAGGTTTGTCGGCTAAACAATTTCGGGGGGGGAGGGGTGGGGGTTTCATTGCTGCGTAGATAAAACTATTATATATCCTGGCAATCGTGTTGAGTGAGAGGAATCCCACAAACAAAAGTGTCGCTCTGATATCGGTTTTAGCGGCACCGACTAAGATTCCATAGCGAACAAATTGTGTAAATATTAATAATGTATATACTAGTATATTGAGGGGATATTAGGAGTG